AGAAAAAGATAGAGGAAGGATTCACATCTAGGTCCTCTGTCTCCAAATCCAGCTCTCTCTCCAGTGTATCATTGCCTTTTGTGCTGTCCTTCCTCAGTCATGAGTCCCTGCAAACACTCTCTGCATTCTCAAGAAAGAGTATCAGATACTGAGAGATGTCGGTGTGATAACTAACTCCCACGAGGAAGTGTCATGAACATACTACATGTGTGGAGTTATTTATCCTCACTTTTTTTTTTTCATTTGCAAGACAGAAAATTCCAGCTGCCCTTGGAGAGACTCATCCTATGCGCTGAAAATTTTAATAAGTTGCACCTGTCTGCCTGAGAGTTTTAGAAAGAGATGAGGTCTTATTCAGCCATGCTGAACACTCTCAGGTACATCCCCAGAAGCCTGCAGCTGTGGAAACCCAAATTCAACTCGCAGCTGGCTGTTTCACTCTGAAAGGAAGCTGACCTTGTTCTCCTTTTGGGGACCCAACTCATATGACAAGATAGATTTCTCCCCTCTTGACCTCTGGGTAGAACGTGACCTATTCTTCGTAGAGTGTTCCATCAGGGCCAGGAGAGCAGGAGAGACTTTCAGGGAGCAGGAAATAGATGGTGTCGTTAAAGAACGATGGTCTGCCCTAGTCTTTGGGGTAGGATCTCATTGAATACCAGAGCTGCAAGGGGTCCTACAGATCAACTTTATCTAAATACCTTCCCAGTACATGGATCTACCTTTTAAATTTCTATCAAGTGGTTGTCCAGTTTCTGCTTGACCAATTAGACAGGGAAATCATTATTTCATGTAACAGTTAATCCTACCTTTGGACAGCTCCAATTGTCAGGAAGTTCTCCTTGATACTGAGTCAATACTTTCCTCTCTGGAACTCCCAACTATTGATTCTAATTGTCCCCCCTGGAGCCCTTTGGAACCATCTTGCCACAATCATGGTGGCAAAGTTATTGAGCTATAGAAGCAGGAAAGCAGAAGCTGCAACCAGCAGTTTCTAAGATTGGACCTGTGTTAGGTTGGCAGGGATGAAACAGATAGAGTCAGGACATGGGTTCGAATCTAAGTGCTGCTATTTATTTTCATTGTTTCCTTTGGGCCTCTGTTTCCTCATCTGTAAAATGGGAATGTTGGTCTCAATGGCCTCTGCAGTCCCTACTAGATTGAAGTCAATGATCATTGTACTAGAATCACAGAATTCATGTTTTGCCAGGAAAGGGAGGAGGGGAGACCTCCTTGATGACAAAAAGAAGTGAGGCTCACTAGGCACCTGGATTGTTTTCCCATCTCTGTTTGTACTCTTCTGTATTGCATAGATTCTTGGAGAAGTATCGTATGCCATTTTCTTCTATAAACTGCCTGAGGTCTTAGACATAGAGACTACTGAAGGACTGAGCCCTTTCTTATTATCTCAGGCTATGGGATCCTGACCAGAAAAAAAAAAAAATTGATCATTAACCCCCAACTGGTTTTTGTTGTCGTTGTTGTTTTGTTTCTTTGGGGGAGGCAATTGGGGTTAAGTGACTTGCCCAGGGTCACACAGCTAGTGAGTATCATGTGTCTGAGGCAGGATTTGAACTCAATTCCTCCTGACTCCAGGGCCAGTGCTCTATCCACCGCACCACCTGGCTGCCCCCGTTAACTCCCAATTGAAAACAGCCTTATTCATTTACTGATTCCTAAGCTAAACCTAAATTTAAATAATTTTATTGAGTTAAGAGCCAGTCAATCAGCATTAAATACCTCTTATGTGTTAGACACTGTGCTAGACATTAGGAAACTAAAATACAAAAACAAGATAGGTCTTGCCCCCAAGGAGTTTACATTCCACTGAAGGGACATACATGTTCATGGGAAAGTAAATACAGGATATATACAGCATAAATACAAAGTAACCTGGGGAGGAGAAGGGACAGGAACGAGGTTCTGTCTCCAGCATCTTCTCATTAAGGAGATGGCACTTGAGCTTAACTGGCTTAAGGAGGGAGGCATTACAGGCATGAATTGGGGGTGAGGGGGTACAGCCTGTGCATTGGAGACCAGACTGACTGAAGCATAGAATGCACAGGGGAAAAAGTTAGGCTGGAGCCAGATTCCGAAGCATGCAAAATGCCAAACGGGAGTTTATATTTTATCTTAGAGACAGATTCATAGAACCATGGAATTTATTTAGAGTTGTGACACACTTAGCAGGAATTCAATCCAACCTATACCTGAAAAGAATCCTGACTCTAATATATCCAAGAGGTGCTCGTATAGCCTTTCCTTAAAGACTTCAAGTGAGAAGGAACCAGAGGTGCTCCAGAATAGTTCCTACCAACTCTAGAAAGCCAATCATTAAATTTTCAGTGTATGTGTTTACACTTTGGAAATCAGAAAACTCTACAAATCAGGCCTTGCTTTATAGTTTTGTTGATTATCTAGACTTAGGATTTAAAATGCAAATTAAATTTAAAAGTGTTTCCAAGGTACAGTCTTTTTTTTTTCTTTTTCCTTCAGAGAGCCACTTACCAGCACATCCCTGGTGAGAACCCACCACCTCCAGCAGCAGCCCTGTTTGGCTCAGCTACAACTAATAGGAAGTTTTTCTCGCATATCAAGCCTAAGATTGCCTCTACAATGTCCACTCATTGCTGCTGGTGGTATCCCTTGGGGGACAAGAAGGAAAAGTCAATTTCGTCCTGTACATGACAGCTTTTCAAATACTTGAATGCAGATATCATTTGCCTCCCCTCCCTTCTTCAATCTTCTGTTCCCCATTTCCTCCACCAAATCTCAATGTGGCGTTGGCTTGAGATCCTTCACCATCCTGGCTGTGCTCATCTAAATGGGCTTCAGCCTCTCAATGTTCTTCCCAAGCCATTCTGCTTAGAACTGACCACAACCATCATAGGTTGTCTAACTAGGGCAGAGTGTGGTAGAATCTTTATCTCATCTCTGGAAGAGGTGGAACTAAAGCAGCCCAAGGTTACCTTGGCTTTTTTTTGGCAGCCACATCACCACTGCTGATTCATACTGAGTATATAACTCCATAAAATGCCAAATGGAGGAGATTGTATTTGATTGCAGACAGAGAAAGACCAAGCTCTTTTTTCATACCAGCTCTTTTCGAAACATGCTTATTCTCACCCTTATTCTACATTCGTCAGGTTGATTTCTTTGACCCAAGTATAAGACTTTCCCTTTTAGCCCTGTTGAATTTCATTTCATTAGATTTCAGCCCAAAGCTTTAGCGTCATGGGATCTTTCCAGATCCTAACCCAGTCATCCAGAGCATTAGCTGTTTCTCCCGGATGAATCTCATCTGTAAGTTTAATGAGCATGCCACCCATTCCTTTGTCTAAGTAATTAACAAAAATGTACAATGGCACAGGGCTAAAAGCAGATCCCTGGGACATTCCACTGGAGACCTCCTGCTAGGTCAACACTGAACCCTTAACAATACCTTTCAGTCTAACCATCCAACCGAGTCTGAGTCCATATAATCACACTATCATCTAATCTACATCTAAGCTTTCCTCTCCTTATATTTCATAAACCCCAGGAGGGAGTGGTCATTTCTCTGACCTCCTCCCTCTCTGCCTTTCTCCATGATTATCATCATTCACACTCCCAGAAACTACTCATTCCCTGTTAGTTACCACATTAAGGTGTCGTATTGAATTTCCCTCTTTGTGGTTCCTCCACCTTCTGAAGGATGAAATTGTCTTGAGGTGAGCCTAGAAGTTATTAGCTCCTCTACTTTTAGCAGAAAGGGCTCCAGCAGATGGGAAGAGGGAGTCAGTGAAGTTTCTGGAGCACAATAGTGACACACACAGACCTGCATTTTAGGAACATCACTTTGACAACTGTGTGGAGAATGAATTGGAGAGGAGAAGGACTGATTGCAGGACAATCAGTCAAGAATCAATAGTCTAAGTGAGAGATGACTGGGGCCCAAACCAGGGTAGTTGTGGCTCGATTAGAGAGAAGGGGACAGATATCAAGAGGTGTTGAGGAAGTAAAACAGACAAGTTAATTTGTTTTAAAAATCTAGATGCTTGTTTTCTGTTTTCATTTTTTTTGAGAAACAGGGAAGAACAGTATCAGGGAAAGAATATTGGAATGGGAAGCAGAAGACCTAGGTTTTTAGGTCTACCTCAACCTTGGAAAAGTCATTTCACTTCTCTGGGCCTCATTTTCCCTATCTATAAAATTAGAGAGATGGACTAGTTCAGGGTTCTTAACTTGAGGTCTATGAACCTATGTTTATACAGATATATGTAATATATAATATAAACAGATAACTGTATTTCAATATAATTGGTTTCCTTTGTAATACTGTATATTTCATTTTATATATTTAAAAACGATATTCTCAGAATGGCTCTATCAGACTGCCAGAGGGCTCTATGGCAGAAAAAAGTTAGAACCCATGGACTAGATTATATCTTTTTTTAAGGCAGTTGGGGTTAAGTGACTTGCCCAGGGTCACACAGCTGGTAAGTGTCAAGCATTTGGTCTGAGACCGGATTTGAACTCAGGTACTCCTGACTTTAGGGCCGGTGCTCTATCCAGTGCGCCACCTAGCTGCCCTGGACTAGGTTATATCTTAGGTCTCTCTTAAATTCTATGACTTGCTGATTCCAGAAAACTGATGTAAATTAGAACTAAGTGTATATGTTTTCTAAAACTATTGTCTTGGTAGTCTGGGGTTTAGATTTGTTGGGTGGGCTTATTAGACTGTCTAGTAAGGCACAGGGAGTCTGTGATCTGATTGAAGGAGTGTCCACACCACTAAAATAGCAGATAATACAAATCAGGAATTGCTGTACTGAATCTGAATCAAATTTTGCATTCAAATCTTGCCATGTGAGTCTGAGAAAAAAAATCACTTAATGCCTCAGTTTCCTTATCTGTAAACTGAGAGGCCTTTAAAGTCCCTTCCACATTTAAGTCTATAATGCTATGAACCTATAAATATTCTCCAGATGGGACTAGTATTTCATCAGGCTCATACTCACTCCTTCAGCAGAGCTGCCCCCATGTCTTTCAACAGCAGCAGGCATATCGGAGAGTCTCTACTCTGCATTTTTTCATTTTTACCTCTGTTATCTTGTTTTTAAGCCAGGAATGGACACCGAGAAACAGCCAGGTGCTGGATCGTGAGTGCAAAAGCCCATGAGCAATTCTCTATTTTCATCCTACCCCTGGTTTCCTGGTAGGCACGAAAATTGCTGTCAGCTAAAATAGAAACAAACCCTGGCTAAACTGTCTCCAATCTGCTGAGATCTGCACCAAAGGAGGAGTGGAACCTTCAGCTGAACACTGGGGACTGTGCTTAATGGCCTGGAAATGAACTTCCTTTCCAGCACAGCTAGAAAACTTCAGAAAGGCCCCTCTTACCTTTGGCTCACATCAAGCATTATTCTCAGGTCCTCCCAAGCACAGCTTATCAAGTGGACTACTTAGGCATCTCAGCCTAGAGAAAAGGAAAAAATGAGGCCCCTCTGCCTTGATCTCCTTCTCTACTGTCTCTCACTCTTTCCTCATGCAGACTAGAGTCATGCGAGAAATAACTCTCAACAGGCTCAGTAAATTAGTTCCAATGCTCTTCTTCACCAAATCTGCCTACTACTATATTCTTATCCCTCCTTTAAACTGGACAATGGTTGGGAACTGCCAGATAAGAAAACTACTAATGTAAGTCAGGACTTTTTCTGAGAGTTGTGAGGCAGCTAGGTGAACTTAGAGTCAGAAGACCTGAGTTCCCACCTTCCTGAGACACTTACTAACTGTGTGACCCTGGGCAAATCACTTAATCTTTGTGCCTTGGTTTACTGATCTGTAAAATGGAAATAATCATAGCCCCTATCTCCCAGGGTTATTGCAAGAATCAAATGAGTTATTCCCTATAAATGACAGCTATTATCATTACTATTATTATAGATTTGCCTAGAGCACTGAGAATTCAAATAACCTTCCCAGAATCACACAGCAAATTTTTTTTCTCTTTCTGGTCCTAAGTCTGGCTCTCCTTTTAAAGCCCTGTTCAAAGGCCAGCTCATCTGGGAAGTCTGTTCTTCAATGGGTCAGCAATAATTCCCTCCTGAGAATTCCCATAGAATTTTATTTTGCAAATCTCCTATGCATGTCTGTAATAGTTTGTCATAGTTATCTGCCTTTACATCTTATTCCCAAACTGGACCATTAACTTGAGTGTGGAGATCTCATCTTATATAAACACTGCCTCCCTGTGCCTAACTCAGTGTCCTGAGTAAGCTTTACCTTTCTTGGCTAAATAAATGGGATAACACATTTATCGAGGTGGTGCAGCAAGATTACCGCACCAGCCCAGGAGTCAGGAAGACTTGAGCTCAAATCCAGCATCAGGCACTTACTGGCTGTGTGACCCTGGGCAAGTCACTTAACTCTGTTTGCCTGAGTGTCCTCATCTGGAAAAAGAAATGGCAAATCACCCTAGTATCTTTGCCAGGAAAACCTCAGTTAGGTCATGGAGAGTTGGAAATGACGGGAAAAATGTTATAGAGCACCTTACGGTTATGAAAGCCCTTTGCCTTCATTATCTCATTTGCTTTTCTAAAGCAGCTGTTGTAGGGGGCAGGTGGTGTCTTATCCTGCCCAAGACTCCATTGCTAGCTTCACAGAGAGCTTGAACTTGAACCCAGATTTTCCAGTTTTAAGTCCAGTGTGTTAAGCCACATTCTAGAAATTTAGAGGATTTAGCAACTGAATTAGCTATGGCAGACAGTGATTTATGGAGGCCAGAGAGCTCTGATGCCAGGCCCTGATAGCACTCTGTAAATAATACTGCAGATGAACAAAAAAAAAAAAAACAAACACCATGCCCAACAATGGAGTTCAATAGGGAGGAAGTAAAGACTGGGGGAAAGGGACATCAGGCCTAAACAAGCCCTTCCACCCTCAGTATTGTATTTCCTCAATTTTGCTGCAAAGGCTTGGTGAAGGTTTAATACAATAAGTCGAGGGACAGAAAGGGGCTGGGTTAAGCCATGGTGTTTTATGGATCCAGTCTGATACTCAAGATCAGTTAAATAACTGAACCAAGCAGAAGGGCATGGACCAGGACACTGAGACTTAACTCTGGAGTCAGAGGACCTGGGTTCAAATTCTGCCTCTGATCCTTATATGCTTGATATTGGGCGAACCATTTCTATCTCTTTGGGCCTCAGATTCCCCATCTATAAGATGGAGGCTTCTGGGTTCACTTCCGGTTCTCACTCTCACTCTTTACTTTAACCCTGTGACTTCCAGCTTAGGACCTTCTTAAGTGCTATAGGCTGCCCTTCAAAGGGAAGTGAGAATGACCTGAGGGCATCATAGGAATCCATATGGTTTTGCATGACCATCTTCCAGTGGCCTCCCCAGGCGTTTTCACAGTGGAAAATATCTCTGCCTGCAGCAGTATCTTGAATTAGGAGAGACAGAGATATCTGCGTGTGTGATTGCCTAATGGATACATATTTCTGATGGTTTTGAGGCATATAGCTTACCAGGCCTGGTCCTCACGCTCCCTAGGGAACGATGTTGCCTTTCTCTCACCTCCTGGCCTGGCTTGAGTTTCCAAAGGCTAATGTTTCAACTTGTCTAAAGCCGTTCCAGCCAAAGGTGGTGACTCGAGAAAGTGGGAGATAGCTGGGCATAGTGAATTGAGAGCTAGATCTGGAGTGAAGAAGGCGTGAGCTGCGATTCTGCCTCAGAGACTTGGTAGCCTTGTGTGACCCTGGGCAAGTCATTTAACATTTGGGTACCTTAGTTTCTTTATCTGTAAAATGAGGTAAATAATAGTGCCTCCTTCTCAGAGTAGTGAGAACCATATGAGATAACGTACAAAGTGCTTTGCAAAGCTGTAAGTCGAATGTAAACGTTAGCTGGAGTGATGAACGCTCTGACGTTGGAATCAGAAGACCTGAGAAGGAGCCCAGGACTTGCTACTTCACAGCTTAGTGGCCTGGGCAAGTTACTTAATATTTTGTCTCAGTTTCCTGGCTAATAAAGTGAAGATAATATTACCTGTACTGCCCTCCCAGACGGGTTGTTATGCAAACCAGATTAGATAATGGATCTAAAGTTCTTTGGAAGGAAGGAAGGAGGCAAAAATTAAACACCTACCATGGTTCAGACACTGTGCCAAGTGCTTTATAATTACTATCTCACTGGTGCTCACCATGAGGAAGGAGATCCTATTAATATTCCCATTTGACAAGTGAAGAAACCAAGGCAGACAGAGGTTAAGTGACTTGCTCAGGGCCGCAAAAGTAGGAAGTATTTGAACTCAGATCTTCCTGACTCCAAGCTGATCTAAGCCAGCTAGTGGCTTTGTAACTATAAAGCAGTGTGTGTGTGTGTGTGTGTGTGTGTGTGTGTGTCTGTGTGTCTGTGTGTCTGTGTCTGTATGTGAGAGAAAGAGGGAGGGAGAGAGAGAGAGGGAGAGAGAGAGAGAGAAAAGGAGGGAGAGAGACAGAGAGACAGAAAGACAGAAAGAAAGAAAGAAAGAAAGAAAGAAAGAAAGAAAGAAAGAAAGAAAGAAAGAAAGAAGAAAAAGAAGAAAGAAAAAAAGAAGGAAAGAAGGAAAGAAAGGAAAGAAAGAAAGAAAGAAAGGAAGAAAGAAGGAAGGAAGGAAGAAAGGAAGGAAGGAAGGAAGAAAGGAAAGGAAGGAAGAAAGAAAGAAGAAAGAGAAAGAAAGAAAGAAAGAAAGAAAGAAAGAAAGAAAGAAAGAAAGAAAGAAAGAAAGAAAGGAAGGAAGGAAGGAAGGAAGGAAGGAAGGAAGGAAGGAAGGAAGGAAGGAAGGAAGGAAGGAAGGAAGGAAGGAAGAAAGGAAGAAAGGAAGAAAGGAAGAAAGGAAGAAAGGAAGAAAGAAAGAAAGAAAAGAAAGAAAGAAAGAAAGAAAGAAAGAAAGAAAGAAAGAAAGAAAGAAAGAAAGAAAGAAAGAAAGAAAGAAAGAAAGAAAGAAAGAAAGAAAAGAAAAGAGATAGAGACAGAGCATTGGGATTATTATGGGCAATAACACACCATGCAGTCCTGGCCTGTAGCCTGCCTTCTTGTGCCCGGGGATAATTTTGGCTTAACAATTTCAAGAACCAGTTTGGGCCAGGCTTGAAGTTTGTGGCTTTGACATGTACTGAGAGTCCAGGGCTCTCTGTACAGGACTCAGGTGGAGCCAAAAATAGCTGTGAGGCTTCAGAAATGGGCTTTTGTCTTCACTCCAATTCCAGCCTTGAACGTTGTATATGGGCACACGGAGGATGGTCAAGGAGACAGACTATCTAGATGGCATACAAAATATATGTGAAAATGCTTTGAGGGAGAATAAAATGGGCGAGATAATTTTGTTGCTGCAGCTGGTAGCAGTAGCAAGCCTAGGAAGTTACAAGCCCGAGTTGTGCTGACTATCTGGCACGGTGCCAAAGGTGTGACCAGCTTAGCTGTGGCCAAAGTGGTTAACATCAAGATGGGAGGCTCTTAACACGTTTACAAACATTTCAACAACAGACATTCAATTTAAGCAGCACTTCTCTAGGCACAATGTCGTGGAGTGGAGAGAGGGTTTGATGCAGAGTCAGAGGAATCTGGGTTTGAATCTACCCTTCCACATGTTCATGACTGTGTGGTCATTTATCAGACACAATCTCTGAGCACCTCGGTTTCCTCAGCTATAAAATGGGGATAACAATAATGCCTGTCTTACACAATTGTTGTGAGGATCATTAAATAATGAATGCAATGTGCTTTGTGAGACATACATAAATGTATAGATCTCCTTTTAATATAATTATCTTTTTATTTTCAGAGGCAGCCTGTGGCCCAGCTCTTAGAGCATTGAGCCTGGAGTCAAACTAGCTTCTGCTTGCCTCAGTTTCCTCAACTGTAACATGGGGATGATAATAATACCACCTACCTTACAGGGTTGTTGAGAGGATCAAATGAGATAATATTTATAAAAAGCGCTTTAATACTATGCTCAGTACATAACAAACACTTAATAAATTCTTATTCCAGGGGACAGCTAGGTGATACAGTGGCTAGAGCTCTGGCCTTGGAGTCAGGAGGACCTGAGTTCATCACTTACTAGTTATGTGACCCTGGGCAAGTCGCTTAACCCTAGTTGCCTTGCCAAAAGGCAAAAACAAACAAATAAATGCTTATTCCTCTGCTCCTCCCCTCTACTCCCCCTTATTTTTATGGAGTTCAGAAATAAACTGTCCTGGGACAAGTAGCTCTCCCTTTAAATTCAATATTCTGTGGACTCAGATACAGATTTATATTGTAGTTTAATAAAAATATTAGGTTGTAAGGTCACCTGCAGCTTCACTGAGAGCATCCTCAGTATAAATCCAGTAGCAGACAGACAACAGGGTTCCTGTGTAGCTCATTCTGATTCTGAGCAGATTCTGAGCAGTTTCAATATTCCGAAAGCTTTTGTTCCACACAGCTTTGAGATTATAACTATTTGGTGACATCTATTTCTAAAAATTGTCTTTTAAACTTAAAAATATAGTTTCTACAAATCAATGTATTGACCCAGTAATGTTATGACACCATTCTATTTGGGATCACCATCTGGTTCTAATATCATTTGTCGGTTGAATTTTCCAAGATATTCTGAGGTCTGCATTGGTTGTATGGGAATTTGTCATTTGCAAGTTCATGAAAGAAAGTGAGTTTGTGATGTATAATTCTAGCTACCAGGTATTAAGTAGGTGTTAAACTTTCACAGCCTGAACTATTTTCTTGCCTCATCTACATTGGTCTCTAAGTCTGGGCTCTTAAAGGAAGGGCCAACTTTCAGTAGTTTCTGGGGTCAACGACCTGGTTTCCACACACAAACACAAAATGCGTATGAGTCAGCTATATTTGCCTAATGCTTCTTTGTCAACATATTATTGCCTAATTCTTGCAGATCTCACCCACAGAGAGCCTTTTAGTACTATTATTAGATCTTAGCCATATCATGGGCTCCATTCAGAGGTAAGTCACGTTAGGTTATATTCAACAAATCTCAAGTATCCTTTACTATTGCTGAATGAAATGATATCTACTTGCTCCAAAAATATTTCTATAACTTTTTGACCTGCCAAGTTTTTGCTCTAATTAGTAGTAGGAAATTCACCTATAGTTGATAGCAAACACTGGGTACCAACCAATGTCCCCCATCGTTCCCTGGATGCATCCTGTGCTCTGTTCCAATCAATCTCTTTGGGACCTCTTTGAAGCAGGGACAGCTCTATGCCCCTTACCAGCAAGAAGCAGTTTCAGAAGCTGAGACCTTCACCCCTTGCCCCAAAAGACTTTGGGCCCCATTTGTTTGAGGGGCGAATGATGAGGATGGGATCTAGACCCCAAAAAAGGAAAAACCCTGGTCTTTCCCATATAGGCAAATCTCTGGCGGTCCCATCAACTGTAATCCCATCAGCTGGCCTTTCATTGTGGCTACACCCAATCTCCCAATTCTGTGTTACTATTAACATAGCCTAGCCCTCCATAGTCTTACCTCCCTATGGCCACCTCCTACCCTTAATCCTATCTAGGCTCCATTCTCCCTTGGCCCGGGCGGTCCAGGTCCTCAGCGTACTATTACCTCACAGTCGTCCACCAGACTACTTGGCCACTCCTAGATCCCTCCCATAGTCTTTCTGTATGTAAGGAGCTCAGATTCTTATAATCTAGCCAATAGCTTACTGATGTTCAGACTCCTTAAGAGTCTGCCCAATATGACGGATGTTGTAATAAACTTGTCTTTGGCTAAAAGAAAAAAAAAAGAATATCTAGTAGTCTTCTTTTCTGTTTTTTGAGTGAGAAGTACTGATTTTTTAATGACTTCCTTAGGGTGATGTACCTCATGTTGTGTTAATATTGTATGGATATATTTCATATTCTTATTTTTATTATTATTATAGGGGGAGACACCAAAGGAAGTATGAGGGCAATCCCTGCCCTGAAGAGGTTTTCCAAGGTGGGGAGATACGAGCATACACATGTGTGACAGAGGAAACTAGGTCTCTTACACAATAAAATGCTCAAAATGAGGCTTCTTCGAGTGGGAGAGTAGGAGAGAGCAGAATGTATAGAACAGACCATAGTGACTGTGGGTGGTCAGATAAGGAGTCATTGCCAGCTGGAGCAATGGAAAGACTTCACTGGGGACTCATCAGTTTAGAAAGGCCAGTCATCTTGAACCTTACTGAGCCCAGCCCTCTAGGGACCCTAGCTCCCTTACCATTGCTCACACATGACCCACAGCTTCCAACCACAGGCATTTTCACCATCTGTCCATTATGCTTGAATCTCTGTCCTCATCCTCTTCCTCATGCTCTCCTCCTGGCTTCCCTGACTTCCTTCAAGTCTCAACTAGGTCCCAGTTTCTGCAAGAAGCCCTTCCCCATCCTCATTAACCTTAGTGCCTTCTCTCTGAGACTATCTCGGATAATAATCCACAGACATCTTGTTGGTACATCGTTGTTTGAACATAATCTCCCCTATTAAACTCTGAGGTCTTAAGGGCAGGGACTGGTTTACACACACACACACACACACACACACACAGTGTTTTTGATCTCCACTACTTAGTCCCTGGCACATAGTGGGCATTTAATAAGAGCTCATTGACTGACTCAGAAGGATGGCCAGGATTTAAGTTAGCAGACGAAGGCTTAGGGTGAGTCAGTGAGGGGATTTGCTTGGACAAAGGTCCTTCTGTGGGATCCTTTGCTGAATGTCCTCAGGCCGTGGAATGGTAGGCTTAGGACTGGGGCTCAGGAGCAAATTCTTCCCTGAAGGTCAGGACTCTCCAGGCAGGGCCCTGTTTGTGATGCAGAGGCTAAGAATAGGATCACCCCTTTTATTGCTACCTCTGAGGGACTCGCTGTCCCTCACACCCAGCTTCCCTTGTTCCTTGTCATCTATTAACTGAGCCTTCTGAGGCTGCTGCTACTAGGCTGGCTGCCACCCTCAGGCACCGGAGGGGACCAGAGCTGGGAGAATCACAGACACTTTGGGAGCCAAGGGATTTCCGCAGACAGCAGTCAGTCCGACCATCTGCATTGCATGAGTAGTCCCTCTATGACCTCCCTGACCTAACGGGGCTAGGGGAGAGACTGAGGAAGAGCCCAGAAGCTGGCCAGGACCTTGATGGCTGCTCTCTCCCCTCTTACACATCCCACATCTCTCTTAAGGCAAAAAAGAACCCACCAGAACCAGGGCAATATTAGTGACCACCACACAGTCCTTCCTGGTGACAGCTTCCTTCTTACCAGTGTCCCCTTCTTTTCTCCTTTGCTGTTCTTCCTTGATTTCTTCATCCACGACTATTATCTTGGTCGTTTTCTCTGCCCCCAAAGCCTGAAACACTCTCCTTCCTCATCTCTGCCTGCTGGCTTCCCGGCTTCCTGTAAGTTCCATCTTCTACAGGAAGCCTTTCCCAACCCCTCTCTTCTTCTAATCATTTCTTATTTGTCCAATCTCTGGCTCATTTGTGGTTGTGGGTGTGGTTTTTCCTTCATTCTCAAAGAGGATGGTGACATCAGGCAGGTGATGCCATGACATGCAAGTGAATTGTATTTAAGTGCGGCAGGGCTGGGCAAGGTCACCAGCCTCACTTACTCCTCCAGAGCCAGCTGGGGCCAGTTTCTATTCTGGCTTGTTTGTACGTATTTGTTTGTTGTCTTCTCCGTTCGATTGGAAGCTCCTTGAGGGCAGGGACTATTTTTTTTTAACTTGTGTTTGTCTTTCCAGGTTTAACAATGCACTTGGCATGTAGTAAGCACTTAATAAATGCTTGTTTGCTGACTAAGGAAGAACATCACCAGCAGAAGACAACAGAATTCAGAGAACAGTCCTGATGTCACTTACAGTCCTCTTCGAGAACAAAGGACAAACAACAGTGACAAAGGAGGGGTAGGCATTTCAAGAGAGAGAAGGAGGACATTCCAAGCATGGGAAACAGTTTGAGCAAAGGCATGGAGGTGGGAGAGCCCAGAGCATATTCAAGGGGCATTTTTTTTTTTGTTTCTTTATTTTTTAAGTTTTGGAACAATTAGGTGGTACAGTGGATAGAGTACTGAGCTTAAAGTCTGGAAGACCTGAATTCAAATCTGGTCTCAGACACTCGCTAGCTATGTGACCCTGGGCAAGTCACTTAACCTTTTGTCTGCCTCAGTTTCCTCATCTGTAAAATAGGCATAATAATAGCACCTACCTTCCAGGGTTGTTGTGAGGATCAAGTGAGATAGTAATTGTAATGTCTTTAGCACAGGGCCTGGCACATAGTGAGTGCTTTATAAATGTTAACTATTATTATTATTAATTTAAGATATATTAAAGCTTGCAGCAGCTAGGTGGCACAATGGATAGAGCACTGGCCCTGGAGTCAGGAAGACCTGAATTCAAATCTGGCCTTAGACACATAACACTTACTAGCTGTGTGACCTCAGCAGGTCACTTAACCTCATTTGCCTCACCAAAAAGCAAAAAAATAAAAAATAAAATAAAATATATATATAAGCTCAAAGTTGTACAACATGTAACTTTTAAGTGAGAAGTTACATTTTCTGACATGTTTAGAGTGTATACATTTTGTGGTTATTTTATAAATTTTAGGAAACCCATGTTAGGATGGTCCCAGAGGTACCTCTATACATTATTTGGTAAAATGGATGCAAGCCTTACCAGGATTTTGGAGTCAATGCTTTCTATGTCTAGAACATTTCATAAAGCCTCAGACAACCAGTCCATTCAGTTCTCAAAATGTGACTTTTGACAGCCATAAGCATATCCACTGCTGGCAATGCAGTAAAGTCAGCCAGTAAGCACGTATTAAGTGCCTACTGTATACCAGGCACTGGGCTCAGTGCTGGGGACACAAAGAAAGGCAAAAGACAGACCCTGCCCTCAAGGAGCTCACAATCTAAAGGAGGAGACAATATGCAAACGAGTACCAACAAGCTACAGGCAGGGTATACAGGAAGCAACCGACAGAGCAAAAGTGCCGAATCGAGATTGGAAAAAGCTTCCTGTAGAAGGCAAAATATTAGCTGGGACTCGAAGGGATCCTGGGAAACCTGGAGGCAGAAATGAGCAGGGAGAGCAGAGTGGAATGAGGTGATGAGAGTTTGAGACCTGGCTTCCACTTAACCTGCTCATTTTTCAGTTCCCTCATTGTGGGATAACAATCCTTGCCCCACCTACTTCACAGGGTTGTTAGAAATCTGTGCATACCCTTTGATCCAGCAATACCACTTACTACTAGGTCTGTATCCCAAAGAGATCAAAGAAAAAGGAAAAAGACCTATGTGTGCAAAAATATTTATAGCAGCTCTTTCTGTGGGGGCAAAAAATTGGAAATCGAGGGGATGCTCATCAATTGGGGAATGGCCAAACAAGTTGTGGTATATGAATGTAATGGAATACTATTGTGCTATAAGAAAGGATGAGCAGGATGGTTTCAGAAGAACCCAGAAAGAGTTACATGTACTGATGCAAAGTGAGGTGAGCAGGCCCAGGAGAACATTGTACACAGTAACAGCAATATTGTAAAAAAGATCAACTGTGAATGACTTAGCTATTCTCAACAGCACAACAATCCAAGACAATTTCAAAGGACTCATGATGAAAATGCTCTCCACCTCCAGAGAAAGAAATGATGGAGTCTGAATACAGATCATTTTTTTTTTGCTTTCTTCCTTCTTCTTCTTAAGTTGATGTTGTTGGGGGTTTTTTTAAGTCTGTTTTCTTTTGCAACAAGGCTAATATGAAAATATGGTTTGCATGATTGTGTATGTATAACAATCTATATAAAATTGTTTGCCTTCTCAAGGAGGTTGGAGGGAGGGAGATAATTTGGAACTCAAGATTTAAAAAAATGTCAAAAATATTTTTACCTGAAATTGGAAAAAAAATATAATTTTTTAAAAAAGAAAACCCTTTGTTAACCTCAATCCACCACGTAGAAATGAATTTTTATCATACACAGCAGTACTGAGAGATGAGAGAAAGGATGAGATAATGGAATGCAAATAGAGAGCTGGCTGAGGGAGTTGAGAGGACATGGGTTTTCGAGCTGCATTTTACTCACTCATTCTGGCTGTCTGACTTTTACATCTTATGCCCCAGGCATGGAAAGTCTCCCTAAGATTATAAATTTCAGAGAATGTGACAATCTTGATTGGTAGAGGAAATTCCTCACTGGGAAAGCCTAAATTGAAGAAATCACAGGTCTCAGCTCAAAAGTATATATATATATATATATATATATATATATATATATATATATATGTATACATAAGTCTGTATGCATATACATACATGCGTATAAATATACATGTACATATAAGTTTATTTCTTTCTTTTTCTTAGGTTGGGACTCAAAATAATCCTAAATGTGTATATACATATGTACACACACCCATATACAGACATACACATATATGTATATACATGTATAATGGAGATAAGTGATAATAGCTACAATCAAACTTCCTTATCTGTCTATAAGTCTTACCCTTATCTCTCTAAAAAGTAATAGGTTAAAAAAAAGTAGATAAATTAACCATTTCTAAAGGGCCAGAAGAGAGGGAGAATAGAAAGGAAAGAAACATTTTGAGTAGAATATTTCCACATATATATAATACACATGTATTATATATCCAATATATATAATATAATAATTCCAAAGTCTAAGCATGGTCTCTGCAAATCATTGTTTTATCTTTTTTTTTTCCTTTTTAAAAAAATTCACTTCTTTTTTCAACAGTCAAGCATTTTTTTTTTTGCTGTCTTTCACTCCTTCCCCTCAACTCCTGGAGGAAAAAAGAAAAACAAAATCCTCATAATAAAAAATGTATAGCCAAGCAAAACACATTCCTACACTGGGTCTCTCCAAAAATGCCTGTCTTATTTTTGAGTCCCTTACCTTTCTGTCATGAGACGAGTAACATTTTTGCATCATCAGTCCTCTAGAACCATGGTTGATCAGTGGGATGTTCAGAGTTCAGATGGCTTTCAAAATTGTTCATTTTCATATTAATGATGTTATAGTATAAATTGTTCTGCTGGTCTGCTCACTTTATTCTGTATCAGTTCACACAAGTCTTCCCAAGTTTCTTTGACCATCTCTTCATTTCTTATAGCACAATAATATTCCTTCTCATTTATATCTCATAATTTATGCAGTCATTCCTCTAAATCAGTAGTTCCCAAAGTGTGGTCCAGGAATCCAAGAGGTTCCCAAGGTCAAAATTACTTTCATAATATTACTATGACATTTTAGTTTTTAATAATGGTAAATATCAACAGATATAACTTTGGTGGGGTTCTCAATTTTCAAGAGTGTAAAGATGGCCTGAAGCCAAAAGTTTGAAAACTGCTGCCCTAAATCATTCTTTTAAAAGAGAGTCACAAATACCAGATGTGCCACACACTCCCTGTATGGCATTAGGCAAGTCCCTTCACTTCCCTAGCAGTAAGTTCATCTTTTGCAAAATGAACTGGGTTAGACTAGCTGACCTGTAAGGGTCCCTTCTGGCTCTAAACCTATGGTCATATTTTCTAATAATGAATCTACATTTAACTTACAAAAGCCATCCATTAAGGCTATATGAATCAAAAATGTTCTTTTGGCAGAAACAATCATCAGAATGAGTTTTCCTGTTCATAGGTAGGCATCGTGGTCCAATGGATAGAACAGCGGATTTGAAGTCAGAGGCTCTGAGTTAGAAGCCTGACTCTGCTATAGATCTCACCAGTAGCGGTGAGATTTCTGTACCTAAGGTTCCCCATCTGTACAATGAGGGGGTTGGAGTAGATGACCTCAAGGGACCCCTCCACATATACCTATGATCCTATCATCTGTCACCTTGTAATCAAACCTACCCTAATTAGCATGAGACATTTTCAGAAGAACATTGACAAACTGGATTAATAGAGTGGAGATCCACTCACAATGCACTACTTTCCATGTAACCTGTGGCTCAAGGGGCCATTTGCATAAGACTTTCCCAATCTCTGTGAATGAGAAGAGTCTTATGCAAATGGCTCTTACAGCCACAGATTTTATTTACAGTAGATTGGAGTCCGGAGCATTAAGTATGGCAGAATCTATTAAAAACATCGTTGGCAAATTTGTATGAGTCAATGGCATGTCTAGGTAACTATTGGCAATATTTTTGTGGTCCCAGCATGTTTTATTTGTTGAATATTCAAGATGTGTTGGAGTTTGCAGTTGTAGTATGGGGTATCACTGTCTATTAGTTTTGAATGGTAGTGATATAGTTTTAAACCATTGTTGTTGTTCAGTAACATCTGACTCTTTGTCTCTTAATCTCTCAGCACTCCAGAGTTCTCTCTAAGATTTCAATTACAGATACAGTGTGTTTTTGTTGTTGTTCAGATACATCCAACTCTTTGTGATCCCATTTGGGGGTTTTCTTGGCAAAGGTACTGGTGTGGTTTACCATTTTCTTCTCTCGTTCATTTTATACATGAGGAAACTGAGGCAAACAGGGTGAAGTAACTTGCCCAGGGTCACACAGCTATTAAGTATCTAAGGCCAGTTTTGAACTCAAGGAGATGAGTCTTCCTGACTCCAGCTCCAGTGCTCTATCTATTGCACAATCTAGCTTCCTTTTGCCTTCCAAGCTTTTGAACCATAGTGATATTGAAGGACAGTGAGATTCTGATTGTGTCTTTGTAGGTATTTATAGGTGGCAAATTTTGACAGCTTGAAGCAATTTGCTGCTCAATTTCTACCATTTCCTTGCAAAAATCTGCCTCAAGCAAGAGGTCCATGATCCTTGAGGATGACCCTTCTATAACTTGTGGCAGCAAGGAGCTCCTTCTTCCTTGGCTATCATAAACTCCCTCATTTCTGTGAGTGAATCTGTGTCATTCAGTCATTTATTCAGCCCTTCTTTGTTGACATATTGTTGGTTGAGTCCATGTGGGTGTCACCCATGGGGGACTTTTTAGTTCTACTCTTCCATCTTAGCTGTTTCATGGGTCCATCCTGAAATAAAGCAATAGGGGCAGCTCGGTGGCACAGTGGATAGAGCACCGGCCCTGAAGTCAGGAGGACCTGAGTTCAAATCTGGCCTCAGACCAAACACTTGACACTTACTAGCTGTGTGACCCTGGGCAAGTCACTTAACTCCAACTGCCTAAAAACAAAAAACAAAAACAAAACAAAAAAAACAGAAATAAAGCAATATTGGTCACATTTGCTAAGCCCAGTGGTGTGGTCTTTTGGTCGTGAGGTTTTAAACCTGTTTATCATATGCTTTCAATCCCCCCTCCCTCCTTTTTGAGAAGGAAGTTCTCCTCTTTCTATAGCTGCCTGGAGTTAGGGAACTCTGTGGTTCATTAGTATTATCCAGATTTTTGTTTGGATACTTTAAAAAATATTATTGTCAGTTTTAACCTTTGAGAACTGTAGGGTGACTGGTATTGGAGTCAGGAAAACCTAAGTTTGAATCCTGCCTAAGATATTTACTAGCTGTGTGACCCTGGGCAAGTCACTTAACCTCTATTTGCCTCATCGGCAAAATGAGAATAATAATAGTACCTGCCTCCCAGGGTTCTTGTGAGGATCAAATGAAATAACAATTGTAAAGTGTTTAGCATAGTGCCTGGCATATAGCAGGTGCTACATAAATGTTAGCTACAATCATAGTAATGATAATATTAATTCTTAGTTGTTATAGTAATAGATTAATTATAATAATAAATTATTACTATTATCCATGCCTGAAGGACCTCACAATGAAATGTGGGAATTTCTTCCACCTATGTAGACCACAAGGGGAAGCTAGTTGGTACAATGGATAGCGCACTGGGCTTGGAACTAGGAAGACCCATCTTCATGAGTTCAAATCCAGCCTCAGACTCTTACTAGCTGTATGTCACTTCACCCTATTTGTCTCAGTTTCCTTGTCTGTAAAATGAGCTGGAGAAGGGAAAGGCAAACCACTCCAGTATCTCTGCCAAGAAAACCCCAAATGGGGTCATGAAGAAACAACTGAACAAACAATTTAGATCATAATCCTCTGTAACTCTTAGTCTTAGAGAGTTACCTGAAGCTCAGAGAGGTTAAATAATTTTCCTACAGTCACAAAGAACAGATTCTGAACCTAGGTCTCCTTACTTCCAAGTCCAACATTCTACCTACTATGCCTCAGTGATTCTCTGTGTTGTTTCTATAAAGCAATAAAATAATAATTTCCCCTTGTATTGGAATATCACTTTTTTCTTCTCCAAAGCACCTTCATTGTTCCTTTGGTTGTTCCTCACCTCATGTGATAATTAAGGTTGGTGGAATTATACCTATTTGACAGATGAAAACATGAAGCGTAGAGGTAATTAGCCTAAAATCAGCTAATTGCCAAGTTGAACCCTGGCAAGTCCAAGGCTTTCAAACTTTATGGTTGGTAGCCCAGAGTGGAGTAGGCAAGTTCCTGCCTGCTCCCTGATAAAGTGGGACCTTCCTACGATACATCAGCAGTTCTGTAAATTCTCTCATCAGATGTGAATCCTGACACACCAAAGGGCCACCTGAAGATCAAGGTGTGCTGGTCAATGTTTAATGACCGACTCTCCAGGAAAAAAAAACGTGGATAGACAGACAGATACATAAAAGAGAGAGAGAGAGAGAGAGAGAGAGAGAGAGAGAGAGAGAGAGAGAGAGATGGATATACATATATACTATTTTAAAATTAAAATTAAATGTTAAAACATATGTGCATATATTTTAGCATTTAATTTGCATTATTTATACTGGAGATTATAATATGCATTAATCTGCATTTTCTCCATCACTTTATTAAATCTAGACAATCAACAAAATAGTAAATCAAATTCTAATTTGTGGCTTTTGCCAATATCCAAGGCAAAAATGTTCATGCTGAAAATTTAACGGTTGACTTTCTTGAGCTGGTATGAGCTGACTTCAGCACATCCCTGTCTGAAGAGGTCAGTTTATTCTTCCCAAATCCCTCCATATGCTTCCAATCCAAACCCTACCTCTCAGGCAGCTTCATTCTCTTGTCATGAGGCTGAGACTGGGTGGGGAACACAGGGGACATCTGTCTATCTGGGTAATTCCTAATAATTCCTAACCAGACAAAAGGTCACCTTGGTCTCTGGCAGGGCCATCTTCACAATGAACTTGGGGTCCTTAGTGACTCAGAGAGAATATTCTCTTTATGTTCT